TTATAAATTTAACATATTTGCCTTACTCCAATAAGCCTATATTACTTTTGTAGGCATTTAAAAAATAATAACAATAAGAACTTGAACCACAAACTGATGTCTGGCCATGGGCAGGGAAGAGGGAGGGGACAGGGAAGGACAGGGTCCCTTTCCTCAGGGACAGATGATCAGGCTCTTTCTGTCCTAGGGGTCCGTGAAGCCTAGGGGTACTGCAGGGGCCTTGGGGAGGGGAGCCATGTACTGCAGTTGGAGGCAATTTACGTCTCTGCTGCAGCCGTGTCCTTGTTCCTTGTTACTTTGATGGCTGGATTCTGCCTCTGTCCCTGCTCTTAAATCCTTCAGGAAGAGAAAAAAGAGGGAGTGGGGGGGGGATGGGAGAGAAGAAGAATGGAGAGGAAAGGGGGAGAGAGGAGAGGCAGAGAGGAAAGAGAAGTGGAGAGATGCTGTGCTCCTGCATCCCCATGGCCTCAGGAACAGGGATGTGGAACTGCTCCCCTGCTCTCTGTCAGGAGTCGCCATGGAGACTGAGTGCTGGCCTCTTCATGATTAATACTCCGAGGCAGCTGTCTTCTTGGAGTCTTTTAAAATACATACACTATTATTTGAACACAATGATATTTAGAGCAGAAAGATCAAGGTGGGGAGGGGGAGGGGCAGTAGCTTTACCAGAAGGGAGGTTTCCTGATCTCCCTCCTCTCCTCCCTCCCTGGATCCAGAGCTTCCAGCCTCATCCACTGTGGCATCAGGACCTGAAGGGCCCTTGCAGAGCCTGGCACAGGGCTGTGCTCAATGAACACTTGATGAATGAATGTGTTTATTCATTAATTCATTCACTAATTGTTCAATGCTTGTCTAGAAAGTAAACTCTCCTTCCCCCACCTTTTGTTACGGAAATTAGAAATGTTCTCTCACCCCACACCCCAAGGTGAGCACACACACACACACACACACACACACACACACCAACAACAACACCATCACCACCACCGCCACCAATAACAACTTTCACACTGACTTCCAGGGACCTAGTATGTACTCAGCATGTGTCTGATGTGACCCACAGTGTTGCTATCCATGGCAGTCATTCCAGGGAATTCTTGCAGGAATGGACACCAGCCAGATCAAGTTTGCACATCCTACCCTACTTGAAAAGCTAGAGGAAGACCCTCCATCTAAAAATCATCTTAGAGTGAATCTTTTTGCAAAATGAATATCTTTTCCTAAAATATCTTGCGAACTAGGCTAGCCTGGGCTTGAGTCTCAGTCCCACCACTGAATAGAAGTATGGCCACGAGCATGTTATTTAACCTTTTCCAGTCTGTTTCCTTATCTGTGAAACAGGTCTCCAATTCCTTCCTCTATAGAGCTTTTGTGATGATTAAGTTATATGTTTGCAAAGTGCTCAATGTATGTAATTTCCCTTTTTTCCACTGTGTAAGTTTTTGTTTTTATATTTGAAGGGTGAATTAAAGTGGCGCTCATAGGTCTGTGTTCCTCTCTCTTCCACCTCTTCCAATAACCTTTATCTTATCTGGGCCCAGAATTGCTTTTTAAGCTGTTTAAATTAGGGGGTAAGAGGGGTTGTGCTGGGAAGGACTAAAAAATGTCCATTCCCCCTTTATATTTCCTCCTCAAGGAACCAAATGCAGATACAACTGCCCTTCACAGGTAACCATCCGTGTATGAGAGAGTGTGTGTGTGTGTCCACTGAGAGTGGTGCAGATATTGGGGCGTGAGCTAGCCCCTACCCAGAGCACAAGCTGTGTTCTTCATCTCCTCTCCTACTCACTTCTCCCTCCCCAGCCCTGCCCCTAGGACTGACCCCTAACAAGAGAAAGTAGGGGGGAGTTGGACCCTTGTCTCAATGGCAGACCTAGCCCAAGGGCCCTTGGCAGAGAGCAGCAATGGCCTGAGATTTGCCAACGGAGTAGGGAAATTACTCATGACTAAGAAGGAGGAGGAATGCTGTGGCAGAGGGAAGAACAACAGAAGGGACAGGGAACCTGGGGCTGGCCAATCTGGCCCGACGGGGAAACCTGGGGAGCCCTGGACACCTGCCTAGCCAAACCCCTCTGCTCCCCCTCCCTCCCAGGCAGCAAAATGCCAGAATGGATTTGAGACATGTGTGCCCTGTGTGTCTGGTGTGGGCTCACCTGGTCTTGGCAATGCATTTGGATTAGAATCAAACTCGGGCCTGAAATAGAGTTTAAAAGAAATAGTGCTCTGAGTGTCTAATCTTTACTGACATGTGCTAGGTTTCTGCATTTCCTACATGCAAACATATGCACTGCTAACGCTGAACTGTATCTGTGGCATTTGTTAGGACATGCCGCATGTGCATGACTTTGAGAAAACCTTCGTATGATTTGCAGACTCGAGAAGAAAATGAATGCAAGTGTGTCCACATGTGTATTGCACGTGATCATGAGATGACATATTCCAAGAACACACTTGTAGGGTCCTTGTGGGTTGGGAAATGGGGCAGCAAAGAATGCAGATGGGCCACAGGGTCCTGGTAGAATAAAAACCAAAATCTACCTTCTTGCCCATAGTAGACACTTAAGGAATGAATACTGAATGAATGAACATTGAGGAATTGAATGAATGAATGTTTGGATAATGGACCTAGGGGGTGAAAGTCCTGAGAATTTGGTGGGGTGTGGGCAGTCTTGGAGAATATCAGTCAGCAAGGGAAGCTGGGAGATACACTGCCGGACGTGGGAGCCCATCACCCCTGAATGGCTTTGCTCATTCCTAGGAAAGCGGAGAAGGAAGCAGGAACCCCAGGCCTGCCCTCCCCACCTTCCAGCACCCAGAGGCCAAAGAATTGATGCTCTTCATAAAGAAAAATATGCTATTCCTTGTATTTATTTAATTCCCCTAAGTTGGTTCCAGAAAGGAGGTAAGTGAGCTATAACACAAATAAAATTTAAAAAAAAATTTTTTTTTAAAGATGAGAAAATAAGACAGAGGGAAACCACAGCAGGATGAGATCAGGAGAGTAAGCAGGCTTCTTTGAGGGAGTTGAATGACATGCAGCCAAGATTCACAGCCTCCTTAAGGTTAAAGAAGTTGGGTTTGTTTGGTTTTTTTAGTTTTTCAGATGGATCCCAATTACTCCAGGTTCTGATTCCAGGGAAATATATCCCATGGGTCCTCTGTGTGTTGCGAGGAACAACATCCCTAGAGTAAGTCATTTATATGGAGGCAGAAAAAAGTTCTACAGAATTCTCTCAGACTCTGTAGGAGAAGGAACAGTGAGCAGGAATTGGCCTTACTTCTCCGGAGGACTGTCTGCCAGGTGTCCATCAAAATTTTACATACCATCTGACCAAAATTTACACTCACTGGAATTTATCCCACAGGTATATTCAGATGTATATAGTCAAGGACATTGACTACAACAATTTGGTAAAAGCAAAAGGTTGGAAACTTCCTACATGATCATGAATAGCACACAAGTCCATCTTTACAAAGGAGCATTATACGGCCTTAGAAAAGAATGACCAAGCTCTTTATGTTTGGACATGGAACAATCTCTCAACTATTATAAATGGGAAAAATTATTTTGTAGGGCAATGTGTATTCTTACAGATGCATAATTATTCTGAAAGAGTGCACAAGAAACTTAGATGTGGCTACCTTAGGCAGTAGGTGGGTAGTTAAAGAGACTTTTACTTTTCAACTGAGAATATACTCTTCCGCACTGACTTTTTCTCTCACCGTTAGCAAGTAGTATGGTCCTTTACAATTTAAATGTTATTTTTCCTAGAACAAACTAAAATAACTATTAAGAAAATAAAAAACACAGAGGTGAGCAAATAACGAATAATGGCAATAATCTCTCTGGTTTACTAAGTACCCCAGTCCCTAGAACTTAACAGGCTCTAACCCAACTACTCTTTATAGCAAATTTATGAAGAAGACACGTATCCACATCTCCATTCAACAGGTGAGGAAACCGACGTTCACGGAGATTAAGACACAGCTAGTCAGTGGCAAAGAGCGTATTCGAGCCCCAAACCTTGGAGCCCCAAACCTACGCGGTCTTCCCTCGCGGTCCCTCGGCCTCTGCCTCCAGGCGGGCAGCGTACTTACTGGACGCCCGTTCCCACGCGGCGCAGAGCCCCAGGCAGGCGCACCCGCGGCCCCTGCGCGCACAGGGCTCCCTGCGCAGGGAGCGC